CTATTATGTAATAATATCACACAGCTAATTTTAGAATCTCTTGCTGATACACCGTATGACAAAGCTAAAAGGTAAACCAGAATTTAAAGGGATGTATAGGAAACTACCCTTAAACCTCCATCTCTTACTAAAACTTCCTAGTTTACTTACATGGCTACTGTGTATTGTCCCACTTCTTTTCTCTTATTATGTAGAAAGTTCTTTTGGGGCAGAAACCAATTCAACATGGTCCCTACAAGATTTAACTACTCAGGGTTCTTGGGTGCAAACAACGAAAACCTATTCTGACTACCTTGGGGTAAAATTAATTTAAGAAAAGATACAAAGACACAAGAACTGTCTGATAAAGACACCTCTGTTAGCTCAGCCATGACTGGTCACCAGCCACCACAACTGGTTCCAATTCTGCTGTTTCTACAAATGATCTCAAGCCACCTCCAAGTCTTTGTGCTACTGCCTTCAGATTCAATGTCCTAGGAACAAGGATCTAAGAGACTGAGCTTAGTTCACCCCTAGGCATGTGAATAGACCTCTTTCAGCGCTCCCTTCCACAGTAACAATGGAAGGTTACTCCAGATAGAAAGGTACTTCAAATCCGCTAGGACAAATGTCCAATCCAGGAACTCAGCCATGGCCTCAAAATGTAAGAGACAATATCAAGAAAGTGTAGTCCCCTACACTTCTCCACAACCAAGAAACTATAATCAGTTTTTATATTATATTTTATATTTTATCTGAAATAGCCTTGCCAACAAAGGCCTCAACCGTAGACCATGACAGAGCTCTCGGGAAACTGTATCTGCCAAACATGTAAGGCGCACAGTCCACCACAGCAGCAGGACAAAACAACATCGGCAGGTCAACGCTCTCCTCCAGTATCACGGAATCACCTCACCCTCCTCCCCCAGCTGTCCTAGTTTTGTCTGGTATGAGATGGGAGTCTAGTCAGGGCTATATCTCACCACCTGACATCATAGGATGATAGCATTTATTTTACAAGATTACTCTAAAGTCTTGCCAGGTATGGATATTTATACATTTGTAGATGTATATATGTGCATGTCTAGTGGGATACCTGGTCCCCAGTTGGCAGGCAACACTATCACCATTATGGAGGAGGTGGGACTTGAACAGGGCCTTGGGGAGGACAGGATACAAAGAGATGAGAATAGGAACTGAGTGCAGCATTTCAAATAGGAGAAATAGTAAACCAAGCTGATGCCATCCTTCAAAACAGCTTTTCAATCATTTTTGGCCATAATCCATAGTAAGAAATCTACTTTACAGTATACATGTGTATATGACATAAGTTTCACAAAATGATAGTTATCCTTACTATGTAAAATTCTCTAATATTTTCTATTCTGTACCATTTTCTTCTATTTAATACATTCTTAATGTTAAACGGAGACTCACAAAATAAAATTTACAGTCCACTACCAATAATAGACCATAGTTTGAAAAATACTGGTTTGGACCAGATGGTGGCACAGTAGTGATGCATCTAGACCCACATGGGAGTGCTCCAAGGTTTGCATCCTAGTACGTCCCTGGATACACACATGGCACCCATGATCCAGACAGGGTGAGCTTGGGGTGGAGCTCATAGTGAAGACCCTGTTGGGAGTACCTGTCTATCTCATCTCTCTCTTGCTCGCTCACTCTCATGGAAGAAACAAATGACTAAACTTAAAAATAAATAAATAAATAAATAAATAAATAACTGGTTTAAAGGACTCAACAAAATTAGTAATAATAAAACCTATCTTGTGTTCACCACCTTTAGTCAATGTGCAAATGTATATACCTTCTCTGGCTGAACATACAACAGTAAGAGGTATCTCATCTGGAATTCGTTGGAGTACCAGATTATTCCTCTTTCCCCACAATATGCAGCCAACGATGTCTAAAACACAAATAACTAGACTGCTCCACTATGCAACGCCATACTCACAGTCTTTATTTCACATACTCACAGTTTCTCCTCCCAGAAAGTTCTTCAATTGCTTACCTCCTAGAGCCATATAATGGTGCCATAGATAAAATGTAGATGTTATATCCAGAAAGCAGGGAAGATCCATGTCTTAAGATCTGGCATTAACCTCTATTCTTAATCATGATTTGTTCCCACAATGCCCTATTTCTAATTTTATGTCCACATCTCCTAGTGAGCCTTTACAGAATTTAAGAACTTGAAATTATTTACTTTGCAATCTGTACAAAATTTTCAAAGTATTCCATAGAAGTAACCATTGTGAATGAGAGAAGAGTTCAATGTATGATCATTAGTGAGAACTTCTAAAGGGGAATATCCAAGATTTAGATGGTAGATGGTATCACCAATTAGGCTGGAAATCTTTAATTATAGTTCTCTACCTATAAATCAAAAAAGCTGATGTGGTTATCCTTTCTCAAGACAAATACTACCTTCCACTCCACACACAAGAAGGGAGGGCCTTCTAATGGCCAACACTTGAATTTTGTCAAACTGGCATCCATGGTCTTCTTTCATTCCATGTAATTTTTCTGGAGTGTCTGTTCTGGGATTTTTTTGGTTGTAGAACACATAGTATAGACTCTAGATATAAGTTCCTTTTCTCCCTTCTCCTAAGGAATAAAGGTCAGGAAAGAGAAGAAAGAAAGATAATTTGCTAAGGCTACTAACTAATCAGTGTGGGTAGCTATTATGGTAGGTTATGAATGGTTAATTGGCCGAAATATAAAATATAACAACTAGGAGGAAGAATTCACCTGTTCCTGGACATTAATAATTAAGTGAAATAAGAGCTCATCATGTAAAACCTTCAATGCACAGCTCAGTATAAAGAAAAGTTCTATCACCAAAGAAGAGTTAGCAGCCCAAGAAGATGACAACACAATATCACGTGATTGATTGCCAAACACAGGACACACCCAAGCACAGCAAAGGGCATGTTAGGAGGTATGACAGTGGGGGCTGATGTCTTTGTCTAACCCAGAACACTTCAGAGAAAATCAGCATAGTGGAAATAAATGTCCAGGTCAAGAAGAATCTTGGCCAAGCCACATAGTGGCTAGGTTCAAGAAACTCTCTCTTTCTTTCTTCTTTTTTTGGAGAGGTTTTTGTTATAGAGTACGTGTGCATGCCAGAAAGACAGAGAGTGACAGAGAGATAGAAAGTGAGAAATCACTCCCCCCCCAGGGGGGACTGCCACACCTCAATCCCTTCTCCTCCATTCCCCTCTCGGAATCTTGGGCATGTACGCACACGCGCCCAGCGTGAGTTTAAGCCACTGGGTCTAGGACTTGAACCGTGGTCGACTACATGGGAGTTAAGCGATATAGCCACAGGACACACCCAAGCACAGCAAAGGGCATGTTAGGAGGTATGACAGTGGGGGCTGATGTCTTTGTCTAACCCAGAACACTTCAGAGAAAATCAGCATAGTGGAAATAAATGTCCAGGTCAAGAAGAATCTTGGCCAAGCCACATAGTGGCTAGGTTCAAGAAACTCTCTCTTTCTTTCTTCTTTTTTTGGAGAGGTTTTTGTTATAGAGTACGTGTGCATGCCAGAAAGACAGAGAGTGACAGAGAGATAGAAAGTGAGAAATCACTCCCCCCCCAGGGGGGACTGCCACACCTCAATCCCTTCTCCTCCATTCCCCTCTCGGAATCTTGGGCATGTACGCACACGCGCCCAGCGTGAGTTTAAGCCACTGGGTCTAGGACTTGAACCGTGGTCGACTACATGGGAGTTAAGCGATATAGCCATTACGCTAACTGCTGGTCCCTCTAGTAACTTTCTATGATTGTTTTCTCATTTACAAATAAGAGTAATAGTATTTATTTTACAAGATTGCTTTAAATTTTTGGTTAGGAGTGTGTGTATTAATACATGTATGTATGTGCACATATGAATGTCTAGTAGTACACCTGGTCCCCAGTAGGCATGTGATACTATTACCATCAAGGAGGAGGTGGGATTTGAACTGGGCCTTTGGGGATGGGAGGATACAAATAACTTGAGAACAGGGGCTAAATGGAACATTCCACACAATGGAAATACTAAGAAAGAACAAAAGAAGGAAAGAAGGGGTTGTAAAAAACTTGACTAGGACTGAAGAAAAGGTTTGTGCCAAACAGAGAAGCAATAAAAAAGGAACTGGGGCCAGGTTGCAGGGACCACTAATACACCAGGGAGTCTGGCCCTTCCTTTGAGAGGACAACTTCCAAGAAGACTTAAATCCCCAGACTCGCGTGAATTCCTCAGAAGCCAGATAGTCCCCTTGTGTGGAATGTGGGGGCTCTCAGACATAAGAAGATGATAGGAAAAGGCATGGGCACAGGACACTTGACATTCAGCTGCGCAAAAGTAACATCCCTCTTTTTACATATTTTAAGTGAATCAACTAGTCCTTGATAGGCACTAAAATCTGAGATGCCCACCCCTTCACACTCAGTGTGAACATTCCAGGACAAAAGTTAACTGAGTGAATTAGCCTCAAATACTGCTACTAGTATGGGCTAAGAGTTCATCTGAATATTCATTTTGGGGATCCATACCTTTATTCTCCTCCCCCTTACAACATAGGCATGAACGCACACATGCACTCACAAAGAATAAACTTCTTTAAAAAAAATTAAATAAATGAAAGAGAAGCTAAAGGTTTTCTTCTGCAAATCACGATGTCAACGAGTCAGAAAAAACTTTCCCATAGCTTCTGTCCTCCTGGCCCACGGCCTGCCTGGGACACTTACTAACAACACTGGGGGAACCAACATTGTTGCTGGTGATTCATCATCCCCCACCGGGGCTGTGGGAGGGAGAAGTACACCGGACTGCCCTTGGGAGTCACTTTGAATTATTTTTGTAACATCTCGGCCTTGGATAAAAGTGAATGCAGAGTCAGAAATCAAAGGCCAGGAGACCATCTATTTATTACTCAGTGGAGTTGTTTACACAACCTTCCCCCTACTATCCATAATTCACTGTTCTGGATAATTGATAAACAAAAGGTACCTAGGTTTCCAGAGATGTGAATATGGCAGAGTGCACCAAAACTGTATCAAATGTAGTTTTGTCTGCCTCTGATGACTCAGAAGACTGTATCAGGTCTTCTCAGGTACTCAAATCATCTTGACCAATTTTCATTCTGCGAGACCACGAGAGAATGAGAAGAGTGGAGGGGATTCGTTAGTGGAATTTGCATAAACATGTTTCCTTGTATCACTGACCGGTTAGATCTGGTCTCCGTGAGCTTGCATGAACGTTCACCAGCTCCCTGAGCTGATGGGTGTCCAGCTGGGTGTTCCCTGAACATTGCTGCTCCAGCCAAAACTGTGCTTGTCCTGTGCACTCTGGCAGTATACACAGCTACTAATCAAGAGGAGAAACAGCACAAGCCCCACCTTGGATGCCAAATCTCGTCTCCCACACTGTCCCCATAAACATCAATGACAGCACCTCTACTGTGTAAGTCTTTCTCCAAATGAATACAAAGGCAAAGTAAAACCTAACTATTCATGACTACTGACTAATACAAAACCAGTAAGTACAATTAGATGCTTTTCACACTTTGCAAAGCACTTTCAATACATAATCTCGATCCTTGCAAGTATTGTTCCTTTATTTTTCTCAAAATTAAACTGAGGCTTAGAAATACTAAATGATTTGTAAAAGGTCACGTGTTTATTAATGAGGACTCAAATCCAAGTCCTTAGAAGGCAGAGGAAATGTAAATGAGAAAAGAAAAAAAAAAAAGATAAATGGTACTAGTGAAAAGGTTGGATTTCACCAAGTTAAAGTAACCAGTTTTTCTGGTTTTGGTGTGGGCATCGAATCTACCAAGAAGGAAAGGGGTAAGGGTTTTAAATAAAACTATTTGTAAAACCTAAAAAAGATAAAAGTTTAAAAAAATTAATATTTAAAAATGTGATACTATTTTAAATTTATCTAGTCAGTAAATTCTGTGTTATAGTTATTTTTAAATGTAAACAAGCCTGGATGAGGTAGAAGTGTAAGCTATAGTCACCCTCAAAGTTAAAAAGTGATGTAGACTCACAATAAATATATAGTCAGCAATACAGAAAGAGATCACTGAAAAACAAAAGCTCCCCTCCCCATTCTCCAGACATAATCACTACTCAGTTGCTGGTGCAACTTTCCTACAGAACAACTTGGCCCCCTCATGTCAGTTTGGACTTTAAAATCCCCATATGTTTTGACTCAGCAACCCTACAATATAGTAATGAAAAAAGTAGCTGTAGTTTACAAAATAGCAATAATTTAGGATGATCACAGCTATACTGCACAGACACATGCATTATTGGGGGGCGGAGGGGTCTTAGAAAAGTTCATGGAGGGCCAGCCAAAGGTGTGGTAGTTAAGGCAGCCGGATCCCACGTGGCTGGCTGTGCAGTTCAAGTCTTCGCTTGAAAAACCCACTGGGCATGTGTATGCAAACCCAAATTCCTGAAAGGAGAGATGAGAAGGGATTGCAGTGTGGCCATATCCCATGGGGGTGGGAGTGCTTTCTCATTTTCCCTCTTTCTCTATCTCTCTGTCTCTCTCTTTCTCTCTAGCAAATACATGTGCCTTCTGGCAAACTTAAACAAAACACCTCATGAAAGGGCCAGTCCTATGGCCTGGTGGTTAAGAGAGCCAGATCCCACAAGGTCTACTGCAAGGTTCAAATCTCTGCCCTGGCAGTTTGAAAAATGTGCTGGGCACCTGTGCATGCATGTTTAACATTTCGACAGGATGGAGAAATAGAGAAGAAAATGCAGCACGAGTACACCCCTTTGGAGGTGCTTTCTCTCTCCTTCTCTGGGTCTCTGTCCCTCTCTGGTAAGTGCACTCGACCCCAGCAAATAGAAAAGGAAACAAACATGTTCATGGGAAATGCATATTATGAAGAAACCATGCATGGATTTCAAAATTTTCATGCACCAAAATAAACTTGTACTTTAATTCTATTCATCCACAAACCTTTTGGAGCACCTTCGCAAAATCCCAGAGGGGAAAAAAAAAATGGAGAATGAGAGGACACTCTTTTGGAGCACCTTCGCAAAATCCCAGAGGGAAAAAAAAAAATGGAGGATGAGAGGAAACAACAAGAATTACCTGTGATAGTCATAACAGTGATTATCACAGGGTGCTTGTGGCATTAGTGGTTATGTCATTTTGCACACTTTAAACATTTCCCAAATGTTCCGCAATATGTGGAACAGAATTACTCTAATGAGGGGGAAAGAAATTCCCGTAGGTTACATAGAAAGGTGGGGCTGGGAGTGGGGTTCAGAAGAGCTGATTCCTGGTGCATTATTTAAGCCATCATTCGGAAGTATCACTCTGCCTCCTGCAACAGTTTAAGACTTAAAAGCTACCCAAAGTAACTGAAGAGGTGACAAGATGAAACGTAATTTTTTGCCAAGGAATGATGGTGATACTAAGTGCTAGGAATTCAGAGGGGAAAGAGATCCTTCTAGCACAGAGTAATGCCACAGGCTTTGGAAGTGAGAGGTGTGGGCAGGTCAAGAGGAGAGTGAAGAAAAAGGAGTGATCAAAGGCAGTAGGCAGAACATCGCCACGCATATTCTGGGGACAGTAAGCACAAGACTGAAGCATTTCATGAAGAGAAGCAGGAGACAAGACTTTGGAGCAGGCTGGAGTCAGACTGGGACGCAGAGCTGATACTGCAGGGGACAGAGGTCTTAGAGTCAGACAAACTGCTGACACACCTAAGGAGGAGCAAGCCACAGTCATTCTTCTATCTCCATCCACTTTTCTCTCAAACGACAGCAACAATCTCCTGAGAAGGTCCTGCCTTCTCCTTCCCATCTGCCTCTATTCTGGTCTCCACAATCTACCAGCCATATTTCTAAGCCACAAATCTGAAAAATCATATGCCTTTCCTAAACTTCATTTCCAACTCCCTTAGGAGAGATGGCTTAGAGGGCTACTTGGGATCAACCTCTCAGGGCTCACCACTCTTTGAACCCTGGACTCTGAATGGTTTGAATTATCTGCAGTTCCAGCATAACTTTAGCCTCCAAGCCTTTGCCGTCTCATTTGTCCTTCGATTTACAGCTTTAGGAGTCATCTCCTCCCTCACAGCTGCCAAGTCGAGGCACCCAGAGCGCCTGTGCTTGCCTTCAGAGCAGCACTTACAATTCTGCTCCTTAATGGCCTGCCTTCTCCACTACCTTTGAGCTCCCCGTGTGCAAGGACTACAGCTGTCATCTGGTATACACAGCACCAAACAACAGGGTCCCGGCACAGCGCACATTTAATAAATGCATGGAAAGAACAAACGCTTCAACGTTTTCTTTTCCAGAATGCTTTTCCTGAACATCCCCACTTCTTTCCAGAAGTATGTGCCTAATCCAGGCAGACAACAGAGACCAGTCTGTTTTTAAGAAACTGTTTTGTAACAATAAATGTGTAGTGTATATGCCAACTGAACTGTGAAGAGTTATTTACTTCTTGCGTATATCCTCCTCGTCACAGTACCCATGAAGAGAGGCTCACAAGCTTGTTTTTCTTTATAATGGGACATTACGCCCTGAGATTTCCCAGTGTGCCGCAAGTTGCCTAGGCCTTGAAGGATAAAGTCTACTATAGTATATCAGGTCAAATCAATTCAGCTAGTTGGTGCTTGAAAAAACTCAAGTTCATGGTAGGTATGGACCAGCTATTAGTTTCTTTGCAGAAGAATCAATGATAAATGGTGAACCAAATTTACAGACACAGTTTACACAGCTGCTTTTACTTACAAGTATGATTGCCCTGTGAAGGCATATAAATTTCTGTTTTATTTTAATGCCAAAGGGCACGTGTATACACAAGAAAACATGAGAGAGAGAGAGAGAACACACGCTAAAGACAAAGAGTGCATGAGAGGGCCTCCCATCCCCTGCAATGGGCCTGGACACACTGCAATTTTTTTCCCCTCTAATTCTCTATCTCATCAAGGTCCTGGATACCCCACCCCAACATCCATACTAGGTATGTTTTCCAAGCCACCAGGTTAGGACTTGGACCCTAGACAGCCATATGGGTTCCAGTTTCCTCCATGCACTGCATAACCACTGCATGATTGGGTTGGCTTTGGCATTTAATCTTTTTTTCTTCTTAAGTATATAATTCAGTGGCTTTTATCATAATCACAAAGTTGTACAACATCACCACTATCTAATTCCAGAACATTTTCATCACCCCAAAAAGAAACCTGGTGCTCATCTGTCACTTTCCATTCTCTCCCACCACACTCACTGCTATGCATGAACCCATGCTGCTCTAGACATCTCGTTCAAGAGGAATCAGGCGGGGCCAGTAGATGGCATGGTGGTTAAGGGCGCTGGACTCCCATATGGCCAACCGCAGTTTGAGTCACAGACCTGGTGGCTTGCTTTCTCGCGTTCCCTCTCTCACTCTATCTCACTGGTCAAATTTTTAAAAGTAAATAAAGTTAAATAAAATGATTCTTTTATTTATTTTTTTTTAAAAAGAGGACTCATGCAATGTGTAGTCTTCTATAACTGTCCTTTTCCACCTAGTAGAGTCTTCAATGTTCATCCACACTGCAGCATGTATTACACTTTTATTACTAGTGTTTTTTTTTTATGACCACATAATGTTCTGTTGCACAGAGACATTCAAATTTTTAAAAACTATTCTAGAGAAATAAATAATAGGGGTGAAGATACTCCTTGCTTTTCTGACATAGGAAACTAATAGTTTCATCAGGGATATATCTTTACCACAATTTTCTTATATAATCAAAACAACCTGGTGAGATCAGTGTAGTCTTCACTTCCTCCAATGATTCCAGATGAAATGTCTAGAAAAGCACAGATTCATGGCTACTAGGGGGTAGGATAGGAAAGAATGGAGAGCGAATGATAATGAATATGGGGGTTCTTCTTGGGGTAATAATATGTTCTAGAAATGGGGCTCACAGAAATCCATTTGCCAAATGCCAATGAGTCAGTAAGCAATAAAACCAGAACTGCCAATATACGACACTCCCTTTGGTACTCTCAGCAATAAAACCAGTCCTGGTCTTGTTGTACGTGTGTTGTTCTATTGGCCAGAGGTCAAAGACAGAGAGCAGCACCTTCCTGCCAGCAAGGTGTTCAAAGCTGACGGGCAG